CGTAGAAGTGCATGTGCCGGAAACCACAGAAAAGCCTTTTGTTGTGTAATGGCTAATTGGTACTAGTATGACTGGATTTTGTCTTGGGGTAAATAGAGGTATTTCTTAAGACCTGTGATTACTGAAACTCAGGTGCTGCCTAAAGCAGAAAATGGTCACTGCAGAAGAAAAAGAAAAAACTACTTTAATCTTAATGAATACAGATGTTTACGTATTTTTTAACAAATTTATTTATTTTATTTGAAAGGCAGAGTTACAGAGAGGCGGGGGGCGGGTCTTCTTTTTTTTTTTTTTTTTTTGACAAGCAGAGTTAGACAGACAGAGAGAGAAACAGAGAGAAAGGTCTTCCTTCCATTGGTTCACCCCCAAAATGGCTGCTATGGCTGGCGCGCTGCACCGATCCGAAGCCAGGAGCCAGGTGCTTCCTCCTGGTCTCCCATGTGAGTGCAGGGCCCAAGCACTTGGCCCATCCTCCACTGCCTTCCCAGGCCACAGCAGAGAGCTGGACTGGAAGAGGAGCAACCGGGACAGAATCCAGTGCTCCAACCGGGGCTAGAACCTGGAGTGCGGGCCACAGGCGCAGGATTAGCCTAGTGAGCTGCGGCGCGCCAGCGATGTATTTTTAAAATATCATTCTGGGGGCCAGTGCTGTGGTATAGCAGGGCCATCCTGCACTGTTTTCCCAGGGACATTAGCAGCAAGCTGGATCTGAAATGGAATAGCCAGGACTCAAACTGGCACCCTTATGGGATGACAGCACAGCTGACGGCAGCTTAACCTGCTGTGCCACAGTGCCAATCCATTTTTTCCAACTTTTTAAAACAACATTTTTACTGGATGGACAGATTTTAAAGTGCAATTATTTGACTAGGTAATTTATTTCTATATTATAAACTGTTAAAAGCAGGGACTGGCATTGAGGCGCAGCAGGTAAAGCCGATACCTGGAATGCTGGCATATCATGTGGACACTGGTTCATGTCCTGGCTGCTCCCTTCCCCCAATCCAGCTCCCTGCTAATGGCCTGGGAAAGCAGTAGATAATGGCTCAAGTGTTGGAACCCCCGCCACCCTTCTGGGAAACTAGATGAACCTCCTGATTCCTGGCTTTGGCTTGGCCCAGCCCTGGCCATTGTGGCCATCTGAGGGAGTGAACCAGTGGATGGAAGATCTCTCTCTCCTCTCTCTCTTTTAAAAGATTTATTTTATTTATTTGAAAGACAGAATTACAGAGAGAGGGAGAGACAGAGATAGAGATCTTCCGTCCACTGGTTCACTCCCCAGATGGCCGCAATGGCTGGAGCTGTGCCGATCTGAAGCCAGGAGCCAGGAGCCAGGAGCTTCTTCCAGGTCTCACATGTGGTTGCAGGGGACCAAGGACTTCACCATCTTCCACTGCTTTCCCAAGCTGTAACAGAAAGCTAGATCAGAAGAGGAGCAGCCGGGACTCGAACTGGCATCCATATGGGATGCTTGCACTTCAGGCAGCGGTGCAAGCCACTGCACCACAGTGCCACCCACCATAGATATAATCCTAAGAATATAATGATGTGGGGCTGGCGCTGTGGCACAGTGGGTAAAAGCCCTGGCCTAAAGCTCCAGCATCCCATATGGGCGCCGATCCAAGTCCCGGCTGCTCCTCTTTCGATTCAGCTCTCTGCTATGGCCTGGGAAAGCAGTGGAAGATGGCTCAGGTCCTTGGACCCCTGCACCCGCATGGGAGACCTGGAAGAACCTCTTGGCTCCTGGCTTCAGATCGGCGCAGCTCTGGCTGTTGCGGCCATCTGGGGCGTGAACCAGCGGATGGAAGACCTCTCTGTCTGTCTGTCTCTCTCTCTGTAACTCTGTCTTTCAAATAAATAAAATAAGGCTTTAAAAAAATGAATATAATGATATTCCTTTCCTCCCCTCTCAACAAGTTCTATTGACTGATATTAAATGTTATTAGTTTCTTCTCAGTCCTTTCATATATGGTGAACATGTACATTTCTTTTTTTTTTTTTTTTTTTTTTTTTGACAGGCAGAGTGGACAGTGAGAGAGACAGAGAGAGAAAGGTCTTCCTTTGCCGTTGGTTCACCCTCCAATGGCCGCCGAGGCCAGTGCGCTGTGGCTGGTGCACTGTGCTGATCTGATGGCAGGAGCCAGGTACTTCTCCTGGTCTCCCATGGGGTGCAGGGCCCAAGCACCTGGGCCATCCTCCACTGCACTCCCTGGCCATAGCAGAGAGCTGGCCTGGAAGAGGGGCAACCGGGACAGAATCCGGTGCCCTGACCGGGACTAGAACCCGGTGTGCCGGTGCCGCAAGGCGGAGGATTAGCCTAGTGAGCCGCGGCACCAGCCCGAACATGTACATTTCTTACTTGTATCATTCGTGTGTGTGTGTGTATATATATATATATAAAGTATTGACATAGTCAGTGTTTCTTTACATACTGTATGACAGCTTACCTTTTTCACTTAACATATATGAGGGTATTTAAAAGTCAGGAAAATGGCATTAAAAATAAATTTGGAGGCAGGTGCTGTGGAGCAGCAGACTGAGCCAGCACTTGGCATACCCACATTCTATACCTGAGTGCCTGGGACCAGAGTTCCACCTGCTACCCATGTGGGAAACCTAGACTGAATTGCTGGCTCCTGATTTAGCCTGGCCCAGCCTTGGCCATCGTAGACATTTGTGAAGAGACCAGTGGATGGGAGCTCTTTGTGTTTCTCTGCCTCCCTCCTCTCTTTCTCTTTTAAGATGTACTTACATATTTGAAAAAGTGACAGAGGGAGAGACAGAGGCAAATACACAGACAGATGTTCTGTCTGCTAGTTCACTCTCCAAATGCCTACACAGCCAGGGCTGGGCTAGGTCACACCAAAGCAAGGAGCCAAGAACTCCATCTGGATCTCCCACATGAGGACAGGAACCCACGTGCTTAAGTCACCATCTGCTGCCTCCCAGGTGCATTAGCAGGGAGCTGGATAGGAAGCGTGGGGTAGTTGGGACTTGAACCAGGCACCCTGATTTGGGATGTGGTGTTCCCATGCAGTGGCTTAACCCACTGCACCACCCCTACCTCTTAAGTAAAGTAAATAAAAATGGAATACATTTTAAAAAGAAGTCAAGCTTTCTCTCTACCTGTATTTCTACAACAACAATAGTGTTAGGTTTCTTAAAAAAAAAAAAAAAAAAAGCCCATATAAATAGTAGCAGAGGCTAGACGGAGATCCCACAGAACAGAGCTTTTTCTACCAAGTCAGATAAGTATCAGTTCACTGTATTATAAACAATCTCCCTTTAAAAATCACCTTAGAGGTTTAAATTTGAACTCAGAAAGAATAAACTTTTCCCTTACCACCAGAACACCTTTCTTTTTTTAAAGAGGTAGTATGTGAACCTTGTTTTTAAAAAATGGAAAAGCGAACTAGTACTAAGAACTACACAATGAAAATTATTCCTCCCTGCCCCTAGGCCTCCATACTCCTTTCCCACATCCCCATCCTGTTAGTGTCTAGGGTATCCATGAGGAGAGTCTATGCATAACCCAGTATCCTTGTGTATGTACTTTTGTAAAAATATCAATGATAGGATATTGTGTATACTTTTCTACATTTCCCCTCTTGGTCCCCTTTTCAGCTTTCTCTAAAGTTGTTAATAGGCAAGTTAAAATCTGGTTTCTAGTTCTGGAATCATGTCTCCCTTTCTTCTTTTGTTTGTTTGTTTAAGTATTTGGACTTAGTTTTATTGTAGTTATTAAAGTCATACTTGATATTTAAGAATCAATGTGGGGCCAGCGCCGCGGCTCACTAGGCTAATCCTCCACCTTGCGGCGCCGGCACACTGGGTTCTAGTCCCGGTCAGGGCGCTGGATTCTGTCCCGGTTGCCCCTCTTCCAGGCCAGCTCTCTGCTGTGGCCCGGGAAGGCAGTGGAGGATGGCCCAAGTGCTTGGGCCCTGCACCCCATGGGAGACCAGGAGAAGCACCTGGCTCTTGCCATCGGATCAGTGTGGTGAGCCAGCCGCAGCGCGCTGGCTGCGGCGGCCATTGGAGGGTGAACCAATGGCAAAGGAAGACCTTTCTCTCTCTCTCTCTCTCTCTCTCTCTCTCACTGTCCACTCTGCCTGTCAGGAAAAAAAAAAAAGAATCAATGTGTACATGTATTCTAGTCAGCACCATTCTATGCATTTGATTTCATTTTTCTGGCATAGTCAAAGCTATTTTTTAATCACACATGGCATGCTAGACAGAATAACAGCTCAATATTTTTAGAACTTGAGTGGGTTTTTTTTTTTCAGATTTATTTATTTGAAAGTCAGAGTTACATAGAGAAGGAAAGGCAGAAAGAGAGGTCTTGCATCTGCTGGTCCACTCCCCAACTGGCCACAATGGCCAGACCTGCGCTGATCCGATGGACTTGATCCAAGGACTTGGGCCATCCTCTGCTGCTTTCTCAGGCCACAGCAGAGAGCTGGATTGGAAGAGGAACAGGCAGGACTCAAACTGGCACCCATATGGGATGCTGGCACTGCAGGGGGTGGCTTTACCTGCTTTACCATAGCACTGGCCCCAGAACTGGAGTTTCCACAAAGTGATTTAGTCTATACTAAGTGCTAGCTACTGTGGAGGACACAAAGATAATTCAGTCTCTGCTGAAGTCACTTGCCTTCTCTCTGTTTCTACTATTTGCAGCAAGAAATTAAGGAACTGAGGGGAGTCCATAACCAGATAGTCAAGCCCTAAGTGATCAGGCATTGTCTGTCATTTTAAAGGTAAAAACCTTAAAAACCTATAGGTTCCTGCTGGGAAGCCTATGAATTATTTTCTTCTTCAGTGCGTCTGCTGTGGTCTGCATGTGTCCCCCAAAGTGCATATGTTGAAGCTTAATGGCCAATGTGATAGCATTAAGAGGTTGGGCCTTTATGAGGTGACTTAGGGGATTAGTAGCCTTATGAGAGGGTTGGAGGGAACCAGCTGGGCCCTTTTTTTGCCCTCTGTCCCTTCTGCCTTGTAAGGACACAGTGATCATCGTGGGAAACTCAACAGGAAGGCACCAACTTGGAACCAGCCACCAGCCCCTCACCAGACACCAAACTTGCTGACACCTTGATCTTGAACCTCTCGGCCTCCAGCTCTGTGAGAAATAAATTCCTGTTGTTTATAAGTTATCCAGTCTCTGGTATTTTGTTATCACAGCATGAATGGACTACGATAATATCCATGTCTCTGTCTACCTCACAGGTCAGTTTTCACCTGACTCCAACTACCAAGTATCCCAGTATATCTCATATTATGGGAAAAGAGTGGGCAAGTACTTCTGTTATTTAATGAGAGCCTCCTGCCTTATACTCCATGACATACTTTGTAGTTTGTGCTTTGTGTGCTCTAATCCTCACATAGCTCTAATATAGTTTAAAAAATAAGTAAATAAATAAATGGATAAGGAAACTGAAGTGCTGAGAACATAAGGCATTTGCCCAAAGTAACAGACTAAACAACAGAGCTGGAATTTGAATCCTTCTCTGTGTGACTGGGTTCTAAGCACTGGAATTCTATCAGTGAAACCAATGAATTTCAAATATAAAAACATTTCAAGTTTCATATTATTAAATGTGGTTACTGACCCTTCCCCCACTTTCCCCCATTGTACCAAATAAATGTAAAGACTCTGTCCCTTTTAGTCACCTGCACAAGAAAAGTGTTTTGACAAGTACTAAATATCAGACATTACTCGAGTGTAATTGCACACTTAATGTGGCATAACCAAGACTTCCAAAACTCTGTCCACAACCCAGTGGGAATTTTCCTCCATCTTAAAGTCTGCTGTAGCTTCACTTTACTGGACTATGATGCTCTCCTGCACTGTACTCATGATGGTAGCAGGCAAGGAATGAAACCAGCAAGTTCATGGACAGTGTATATGCTGCAGAAATGCTCCACCAACAGCCACATCATTGAGACCAAAGAGCATGCTCATCCAGATGAATGTGGCAGAGGTCGACAAGGTCAAAGTCAGGTTTAACAGTCAGTTTAAAACCTGAGCTGTTTGCAGGGGGCACCACTGACAGCATCTATGAGTCAGATCACTCCATTCTCCTACTGGCTGAAGTCAATAGTATTGTGTCAAAGAATTTTTTTTTCAAGTTTTATTTTCTTACTTATTTGAAAGGAAGAGTGACAGAAAGGGAGAGAGAGAGAATCTTCTATCTACTGGTTCACTCCTAAATGCTCATAACAGCTGGGGTTGGGCAGACTTAAGCCAAGAGCCAGGGACTCCATCCAGGTCCCCCGGTATATGCTAGAGAGCCAAGTAGTTGGGCCATCACCTGCTGCCTCCCAGGCACACTGAAATTGGAGACAGGATTCCATCCCAGGCACTCTGATATGCGATGTGAGCATCTTGGCCAATATCTTAATCATCGTGTCACAACACCCACCTGTCAAACTTTGGTTTGGAGAGAATCAAGTATGTGAAGTATTTGTTTATAAATAAATGCTTAAAAGCCAAAGAAGGGGCTGATGTAGTGCACTGGGTTAAGCTACAGCCTCTGAAACCGGCATCCCATATGAGCACTAGTTCGAGTCCCAGCTGCTCCACTTCTGATGCAGCTCCCTGCTAATGTGCCTGGGAAAGCAGTGGAAGATGGCTCAAGTACTTGAGCTGCTGCACCTACATGGGAGACCTGGATAGAGTTCTAGGCTCCTGGTCTCTCTTTTACTTTTGGAAAAGTAGAACTGAGAATAATTAAGTCATAGCCGGCGCCGTGGCTCATTAGGCTAATCCTCCGCCTTGTGGCACCGGCACACCAGGTTCTAGTCCCGGTCGGGGCGCCGGATTCTGTCCTGGTTGCCCCCCTTTCAGGCCAGCTCTCTGCTGTGGCCAGGGAGTGCAGTGGAGGATGGCCCAAGTACTTGGGCCCTGCACCCCATGGGAGACCAGGAGAAGCACCTGGCTCCTGGCTTTGGATCAGCGCGGTGCGCTGGTTGCAGCGCGCCGGCCGCGGTGGCCATTGGAGGGTGAACCAATGGCAAAGGAAGACCTTTCTCTCTGTCTTTCTCTCTCACTGTCCACTCTGCCTGTCAAAAAAAAAAATTCTCCTCTTAAAAAAAATAATTAAGTCATTATTTCAGTAGTAGTCTGGTTTGATCAGCCTGAGAAAGATTACTTTTCTGGTTGTTTCTGAATTGGGCTGAATGAGTTGATTGAGCTGCTATGTAACCCTGTTAGCAAGGTCACATCATATTGCTAAGACTTTCTTTCTCCTCTGTTACAGAAATAACTTATTGTTAAATCATTTAGTGTGGGGACATAGACAATGATTGTCCATCCACTGGGTCACTCCCCCAAATGCCTGGCAGTAACCAGGGGCTGAGTCCAGGTGAAAAACAGGGTGTCTGTACCTTTCTTCCTAGATCTTTCCATGTGGGTGGGCGGGAGCCAGGGTAGTTGAGCCTATCATCCCTCTGCTGCCTCTCAGAGTGCACATTAGCAGGAAACTGGAATTGGAAGTGGAACCAAGACTCAAACCCAGAGTCTTGGATATGGGATCTGAGCGTCTCTAGCAAATGCCCTGTTAAGTACCGTATCACAGGTCTGGTGCTGTGGCATAGAGGATAAAGCCGTCACCTGGGGTGCCAGCATCCCATATGGGCTCTGCTTTATGGTCATTTAGGGAGTGAACCAGCAGATGGAAGACTTCTCTCTCTCATTCTCTGTTTCTCCCTCTCTCTGTAACTCTGCCTCTAAAATAAATAAATTTTTTAAAAAATACTTTATTTGAGAGGCAGAGTTAAAGACAGAGAGAGGAAGAAAGAGAAAGGTTTTCTATCTGCTGGTTCACTCCCCAAAATGCTGCAATGTCTGGAGCTGGGCTGATTCTAAGCCTGGAGCCAGGAGCTTCTTCTGGGTCTCCCACACGGATGCAGGGGTCCAAGGACTTGGGCCATCTTCTAGTGCTTTCCCAGGCCATAGCAGAGAGCTGGATCAGAAGAGGAGCAGCTGGGAATAGAACTGGAGACATATGGGATGCCAGAGTCACAGGCAGAGGTTTAGACCACTGTGCCACAGCACCAGCCCCAAACAAACAAAAAAAATTTTTTTTGGACAGGCAGAGTTAGACAATGAGAGAGACAGAGAGAAAGTTCTTCCTTCCATTGGTTCACCCCACAAATGGCCACTACAGCTGGCGCGCTGCGCTGATCTGAAGCCAGGAGCCAGGTGCTTCTCCTGGTCTCCCATGGGGTGCAGGGCCCAAACACTTGGGCCATCCTCCACTGCCTTCCCGGGCCACAGCAGAGAGCTGGACTGGAAGAGGAGCAACCAGGACAGAATCCGGCGTCCCAACCGGGACTAGAACCTGGGGTGCCGGCGCCGCAGGCAGAGGATTAGCCTAGTGAGCCACGGCGCCGGCCAACAAACAAATCTTTAAAATAAATGAACAAATATTAATTCACTTCTTTGAAATTTTACTTCCACTCACCTTAGATTTCTGCACCTTTGTATCTTACTTTACAAAGGACTAACAGGGCAATTTTAATATAAAGGAAAGATGAGTATTTGCATCCCAAGAGAATTCCCAGGTTTATTTCAGGGGCTCCAATGTGGGCTGTTTTCTCAATTGACCCTCTTCATCTCAGCCACCAGCACCTCCTCCCAATGACTATCACCTCCACCTTGGACAGTTGACTAAAAGCCCAACAGATGGCCCCATTCTACTCTTGCCATGGACCTTTGCACATCCTTTTCTCTTTGCCTTCAAGAAATTCTCCCTTCACAGCCTTCTGACACCTCCTCACCCTTTTGTGGTTCTCAGATCTCAACTCAGTTATTCCTGTGACCTTTCCGAAGAGGTGACTTCTGCCCATTATAGAACCACATAGGTGCAGTATGAACTCATCCCTCTGACAAGTGTTGATTGAGTTCCTGGAGAGCACTGGACCCACATTTGGCTAATGAGAAATTCTTTCTTGGTGCCTTGTAACCACTTGTATCCTTATCTTTTTCTGCTTAAGCTAGCTCAAGTTCGTGTCTGTGGCTTGCAAGCAAAGAGACTTAAGCCAACATGACTACACCAGGGATGGTTGTAAAATTCATCTCTGGGAGAAGAATGCTCTTTTTAAAAAAGTTTAATGGGTCTCCTGGTATATGAAAGTAAAACAAAAATTCACTCTGGAATAAAGAAGCTCAGAACAATTACTAACAACTGTAACAAAAGGTGGTTAAAGGATGGCTATGGCTGTGGACAAGCTAACTTGTTAGTGTTGCTTTGGATGTGTGTGTGGGGAGGTGTAGTGAGGAGGTGTCTTTATTTTCTTTTATTAGGCTGGAAACAAAAGAAAACAGGTCTGTGGGGAAAGGAGTGTTTTATCCTAGCAAAAGGAGTTGTCCTGTGCAACCCAGTGACTGATGAGAGACTCCCCCAAAGAAGGTACGCAACCAAGGAACACCACCACTGAATTATTACGCTATTTAGCTTTATGCTACTTGTTACATTATTCTTAGGGTTCCATTTATAAGATTTTTAAAAAATATGGCAGCCTAGCTTTAACTGTGCTTTGTGAAAATAAGCAGCCATTTTCAAACTTTAGGAGAAGGTATTGTTGGGAGCATTTATTGGCATGGCCTCTGTGGAAGGTACCATCTCCTGCATACCTGCCAAGCCAATACTTCCACCCTGGAAAAATGCTTGCGCACACACACATCGGGACACTGTATAAGAATAGTCACAGCAGTAATGCAAATAGTTGGGGGTGGGAAAGAAAAGAAAGAAAATAACTTAAATGTTTGTGACAGGGAAACAGATAAATCACAACATATTCATGTAATGAACTACACAGTAGCAGAAAAAATAAACCACAACCACATACAACAGGGATGGAATTAGAAGGATAATATTGATTGAAAACAAGCAGCAGTATAGTAAAGCAATTTCCATTTTATAAAATTCAAAGAGAAGCCAAAGTATTTTTTCTTTTTTACTATTTAGTACACTGCTTAGGAATATATGTATGTGGTAATTATATAAAGGAAAGTTATAAGTTTTTTGAAAAAGTCTTTGTGAGCTAGTGTGCAATTATTTCCTCTGCCTTTGGTGCTTCCTACCTGAAACAACTGGACTGTTTCCTGGTGTGTTCTATGAAGCATGTCAGAAGGAGTTGTCACACAAGGTGGTTTATTTGCAGCAAATGTGGAGGCCGTGGGGAATAATTTCCAGATCCCGAAGCCCTGACTCTATGAACAGGAGGAATGGACATCTGTTATTTGAAAGGAAAACGAATACATAAAAGTTCTTGTTCTCACCTGCATATATGACTACAAGTCCACACAGCAGGCACAGTTCAGAAACACGGGTCAACACAGGTTGCTATTATGCTAATAACACCATGCTCTTTCTCAAAGAGCAGAGGTTGGCTTTTGACTCGGCCGTTAAGTTGTTGCTTAGGGTGCCTGTCTGCCGTATTGGAGTGTCTGGTTCCAGTCCTGGCTACCCTGTGTCAGCTCTAGCCGCCTGCTGATGGGCACCCTGGGAGGCAGCAGGGCATAGTTCAATTGCTTTGGTGCCTGCCACTTGCATGGGAGACCCAGACTGGGTTTCCAGTGCCTGGCGTTGGCCTGGCCCAGCCCTGGATATTGCAGGAGTTTGGGGACTGAACCAGCCAATGGAAGATCTTTCTCTGTGTCTCTCTGCCTTTCAAATCAAATGAAAAAAACAGAAAAGATTTATTTTTAAGGTAATTTATTATTAAATGAAGAAGTCATAAAGCAAACCAGAGTCAGACAGATGTCAAAGGTAAACTTAAAATATTTTTGTCATATACTATATGGTATTTCCTGAGATCAGAACCAGGCAAAGAAATCCTAAAGTACTCATTCAAATCGCGTCTTCCTAAGGGGTCTGTGACTGGACAAGAAAACAACTCTTTCCTGGAAAAACAACTCATTCCTATTCCATGCAAGCCATAAGTTAAGAGACAGAGCAAAAAGCTTTTTAATTCACACATAAACTGTCTCCCAGATACACATAGGAGTGTTTGTTTTTCAGGAGTTTAAAAAAAAAATCACTGCTTCCGCCTTGCACAGGAACAGGAATCCCCTCTCAGCTGACACCACGGGTTCTACACAGCAGTCGCCTCCCCACAGGATTGGAAATTACATTGCCTGCTTACCTGACCACATCATGAAATCAGATAGGAAAATCTATTCTTGTCCATCAGTGCTGTGTAATTCGCTCTTCCTAATGCAGAGAGCACTTGCTGCTCTGGGGTGGCCACGGGGTCTCCAGTGCCGCCCTCATGGGTCCCTGCTGAGCCTGGCCTTGCCACCCGGCCGCTGGCTGCAGGTGGATTCTGTGCTAGGGGATGGGCACAAAGCAGCAGTCGGCAGTACCATCAGCCTAGGACCCCAGAACAGGGCTCTCTCCAGGCCGCCAATGACTTCTAAAAGAGGCCATTATCATCGCACCTGCTTTCAATGTAACCCAAGTGCCCACTGTTGGCTCGAGGCTACCCAGAGACCTGCCAGTTCTGTCAGGGCAGACAGAAGCTGGAAGACAGTCTCAGAAACCGGGAGCCAGCGGGACAAAGAGCTACCCAAGCTCCCTCACCGTGTAGCCCGTGACATCACTAAGATGTATTCAAAGGAAACATGTACAGTTTGTTCTTTCCAATAGTGGTGGGGAAAAGCCATCTGCTACTTGCTCTACTCAAACACGCGAGGATCACCAGGACGGTGAAAGAAGCCAGAGAGGTGAGTGGGGTGTGAGGCAGGAGAGGGGGCACTGCCCCACTCACCCACCCTGCACCATCCTGGGGCCTGGTTGCCCCTGCCTCTGCAACCTGCTGAGCTGAATTCACAGCTTCTCTGGGGGCGTCCTCAGGGCACACCTGACTCCACTTCCGCTATCCAGGGCTCAGAAGAAATGGGCAGGGGTGGGAGCTGAACGCTGACGCTGCTCCCTGTCCTGAGTTCACTCGGTTTAACCAGGAGCAGGGGGCAGATTTCTTTGCATTTGGACTAGAGCGATGGCGCTGGCAGATTCTTCAGCAATTGTTTCACCACCTAAGTCCAAAGAGCGAGCCAACCCAGGCACTTCCTCCAGAAGACGCTGAACACATAACACATGGACAACCACAGCCTCCCGGGGGGCAGCCGGGCTTAGGTGCTGCAGATTGATTGACTTATTTATTTATTTATTTATTTATTTATTGACAGGCAGAGTGGACAGTGAGAGAGACAGAGAGAAAGGTCTTCCTTTGCCGTTGGTTCACTCTCCAATGGCCACTGCGGCCGGCGCGCTGTGGCCGGCGCACCGCACTGATCCGAAGCCAGGAGCCAGGTGCTTCTCCTGGTCTTCCATGGGGTGCAGGGCCCAAGCACTTGGGCCATCCTCCACTGCACTCCCTGGCCACAACAGAGAGCTGGCCTGGAAGAGGGGCAACTGGGACAGAATCTGGCGCCCCGACCGGGACTAGAACCCGGTGTGCAGGCGCCGCAAGGCGGAGGATTAGCTTAGTGAGCTGCGGCGCCGGCCAGATTTATTTATTTATTTATTCACTCATTCAGTCAGTCTTATTTATTTGAAGGACAGAGTTACAGAGAGAGGGAGAGATAGAGAAAAAAGAGGTCTTCCATCTGCTGGTTCACTCCCCAAATGGCCACAACAGCCAGGGCTGGGCCAGGCTGAAGCCAGGAACCAGGAGCTTCATCCAGGTCTCCCACACGGGTACAAGGGCCCCAGGACTTAGGCCACACTCTGCTGCCTTCCCAGGTGCATTAGCAGGGAGCTGGATCTGAAGTGGAGCACCCAGGACTGAAACTGGTGCCCAAATGGGAGGCCGGCATTGCAGGCAGTGGCTTATCCCTTTACACCACAATGCCAGCTTCCAGAAGGGGATTTCACACATGGAAACAGTATGCTTAGTTACATGGAAATCCCCGCCCCTTCAAAAAAAAATAATAAGCAAAGGAGCCCACTGGATACTTAATACCCCATCTGTTCAAGCATTGCTCTGGCAGTAAGGTCTGGACCAGTGCAGGGTAGTGGGGGCTGCATCTTTCCCTGGAATACCAACTGAAAACCTGACAGACAATTTTGGAGAACATCAGGTGCTCTTAGGGTCTTGAAACAGAAATGCCACAATAAAAACGAGCTGTTGATGGGGATGAGTAGGTGACACTGGGACATTGCTGTTTGCCCAACATTCTCTGGCTGCTCTACAGCTGTGAGGGACTAAATGGAAGCCGCAGAAAGAGTTATTGACTTCACACTGTTTCAGCATAGAACTGTGCTCATAAACCTGCTGCGGGGGGGTTCCATAGTTGCCAAGAGTTTTAACATTTCCCCTCCTAGAGGCAGTTGCTCCTGTCCCGCAACATCCTGGGCAGCCACGCCTATGTCTTTGGGCTGTCCGTGAGGATGTGCACTGGGTAAACAGCCTCGGACCCCGGGTCACAACGCCGAATTTTAATCCCCTTTTCTCAGTGAGGGTTAGGGTAAATCACAGGCTCTCCCGTTTCTTCCGTTTGACTCCAGAAAACTAACACTCCGAGGAACCCAGCCGCCGCTTGGCTCTCCTTGGGAGTTCCCGCCCTCCCTTCTTCCCGGAGCCCAGCTTCGGTACCTCCCCTCCGCCGGGAGCAGAGGATGCGCTTAGTCCGCTCGGCCGTTCTGGGCGGAGAAAGTCCTCCAGGAAGAAGGCGGGGCTAACGCGGGCGGAGTTGGGGAGGCAGCTTGGGCGGCGCTCTAGCCCGCCGAGCTCAAGGAGCGCTCTCTCAACGTGGGGTCCTGATTGGCTGAAGGCCCGCTGCTCGCACACGCCTCTTCCGGGACAGGGCGGTAGCGGGAAGGCGCCCGACTTCCGGCGCGAGGCGTCGCAGTCAGGCTTGTCCGGCCCAATGGCGGCACCGCTGCTTCACACGCGGTTGCCGGGGGATGCGGCTGCTTCTACCTCTGCGGTCAAGAACCTGAGTGCGTCGCGAGCTGGGTGAGATTCGGGTCGCTTCCTTATGCGCGTCTGGGACCAAACTCCAGGGCCGGGTTTGGGGGGAGCAGATGTGGAGGGATCTGAGACAAAGCTAATGGAGTGTGTAGGAGGTGGGAGGTAGAGGGGCATCGTAGGTTCTGAAGAGCGAGACCGTTCCTCGTAGGCATTGCAAGTAAAAGGGATCTGGAAAAGTAGGGCTGTCAGTGTGCACGGTCCCCATTCTCCCCATCGGGCCCCTCAGCGTCCCAGCCCGGGTACTGCGTTGTCTTCCCTCCCGCTTCTTCTTCCAGGTGAGGAAGGGACTCTCTGGCCTGTTTGGGGTTTCATCTAGATGCTGTCACTGATGGCAAATTGAATCCTAAAACCTTGTTTGAAATCTGTTTTGACGCTCCTGTGTGTTTAACCGTCTTAATCTTGCTCAATCTTGAAAGTCCCAACCTCCATAAAACACTTTGAGGTTTAGCTTTCGGAGTCTTTAGAAGGATGCTGCGTCCCTGCCCCAGTCATTGCTGTTTAAATGAATTAAACCTCGTAAAACACTAATATGCTGGCGAGGATGTGGGGAAAAAGGCACACTAATCCACTGTTGGTGGGAATGCAAACTGGTAAAGCCACTATGGAAGTCAGTTTGGAGATTCCTCAGAAATCTGAATATAGCCCACGACCCAGCCATCCCACTCCTTGGAATTTACCTAAAGGAAATTAAATTGGCGAATAAAAGCTGTCTGCACCTCAGTGTTTATTGCAGCTCAATTCACAATAGCTAATACCTGGAATCAGCCTAAATGCCCATCAACAGTAGACTGGATAAAGAAATTATGGGATATGTACTCTATAGAATCCTATACAGCAGTAAAAAAAAATGAAATCTGGTCATTTGCAACAAAATGGAGGAATCTGGAAAACATCATGCTGAGTGAAATAAGCCAGTCCCAAAGGGACCAATATCATATGTTCTCCCTGATTTGTGACAACTAACTGAGCACCTAAAAGGAAACCTGTAAAAGTGAAATGAACACAGTGAGAAGCAATGACTTGATCAGCCCTTGTCCTGACTGTCGAGGAACAACTTACTATTTTATTGCTTTTAGTATTTTTTTTGTTCTACTTAATACCACTGGTTGAACTCTTTAACACACAATTATTCTTAGGTGTTTTAATTTAACTGATAATTGATCCCTGTTAAATGTAAGAGTGGGAATAAGAGAGGGAGGAGGTGTACAGTTTGGCACATGCTCACTCAGACTTAACCCAATGGTAGAGCTAGAAACGTGCCAGGGGATTCCAAATCAATGCCATCTTACTAGTCAAAGTGATCAGTTTCAGTTCATAATTGATTATAATGATTGGATTAAGTGTCAAAGGATCACATAAACAAGACTAATGTCTGTTAATAATAATAACTGATAGAATTAAAAAGGAGAGAACATCCAACATGGGAAGTGGGATACACAGCAGACTCATAGAATGGCAGATGTCTAAGCAGCACTCTGGCCTCAGAATCAGCCCATAAGACATTCGGATTCGGCTAAAAAGCCCATGAGAATATTTCAGGCATGGAAAGCCAATACACTGTGGCAAAAAAAATTGACCTAAATGAAAGATCTCTGTGAGTGAGATCCCTGTGTAAAGAAGGGGCCATCAAAGAAGGAGGTACCTTTCTCTAAAGGGAGGAGAGAGCTTCCACTTTGATTATGGCCTTGTCTAAATAAGGTTGGAGTTTGTGAACTCAAGAGGCTTCCATAGCCTTGGCAGCTCATGACAGGAGCCTCAGGTGATTACTGACGTCATAAATAAAAGTGTCAATTGTTAAATCAACGAAGGGAGTCACTGTCCACCTACTCCCCATGTAGGATCTCTTGTCCTTAATGTGTTGTACTATGCAAATTAACGGCAAAACTACTACTCAAACAGTACTCTATAGTTTGTGTGTCTGTGTGGGTGCAGTCTGTTGAAATCTTTACTTAGTATATACTAAGTTGATCTTCAGTATATAAAGATAATTGAAAATGAATCTTGATGAGAGATGGGATGAGAGAGGGAGTGGGAGGTGGGATGGCTGCTGGTGGGAGGGAGGTTATGGGGGGAAAAGCCGCTATATAATCCAAAAGTTGTACTTTGGAAATTTATATTTATTAAATGAAAGTTTAAAGAAAAGAAAACACATATCATAGTATCAATCATAGTCCCTCATAAGCCTCCTTACTGTGTTGGGCATCGGGGGACAGCAGTCTATCCAGAGAGACTAATGCTCCTGCTCTCAACCGGAGTTTACAGTCTAGGTGGGGAAAGACGAGTACATGAACAAGATGGCTTCAGACAGAGAGAAGTGCTGTAAGAAAATGGAACAGGGTGACGGGAGGGGGGGGCCCATTGGGTGCTCTAGATTTCTGGTGGGGAGGGCCTCTGACATTTGAACTTCAACTTGAATGAAGCCAGGAATTCAGCCACACACAAGTCTGGGGAAAGTGTGTTTCTGGTAGAATGAGCAGGAGGGGAAATGGGAACCAGCTGGGGAACTTTGAAGACCAGAAAGGACACTATGCCTGCAGTAAAACAGGTGATTGGAGGTGAGGTCAGAGTTGTAGGCAGGGGCCAAATTAATGGTAGAGCCTTGTAGGATTAATGCAAGAGTTTGGATTTTTATTCTAAGTGCAGCAGGAAGATAAGATCATTAGGTTGATGAATTAAGAACCGATTGTTGGGGGGTGGGGAGGCCATAAGAGTGAAAGCAGGTGGTCTAATTAGAAGGCCTTAGTGGTCATCCCTCTACACAGTGTTATTTCAATAAATGTTGTCTGTTATCGTTTTTATTGTCTGTTGTGAACTTAATAGCTTGGTGATCTTGATTCTACAGGATTTCAGATATGCTTGCATTAGAGAATGATTTCTTCAATTCTCCTCCAAGAAAAACTGTCCGATTTGGTGGAACCGTAACAGAAGTCTTACTGAAATACAAAAAGGTAAGAGGAGGTTTGGTTTTTGTTGGTCAGAATACAGTTATTCTAGCATTTTGTTCAGGACTAGTAGATACACTAAAATGTGAGATACCAGTATTGAAATAAAAAACTGCATGAAGCCTTATGCTCAAAATGAGAGTGATAATGTCTTTTCTGAGGTTTCTCCTCTTCAAATGCTTTATTTACATAGTATCTTTTTTTTTTTTTTTAAGATTTATTTATTTATTTGAAAGGCAGAATTACAGAGAGATAGAAGCAGAAAAAGACAGAGGGCTTCCATCTGCTGGTTCACTCCTCAAATGGCTGAACTGGCTGGATCTGGGCTGATCTGATGCCAGGAGCCAGGAGCTTGTTCCTGATTTCCAATGTCGGTGTAGGGGCCCAAGCACTTGGGACATCTTCTACTGCTTTCCCAGGCCATATCAGAGAGCTGGATCAGAAGTGGAGCAGCCACTTGAACTGGCATCCATACAGGATGGCGGCACTGTAGGTGGTGGCCCCTTTTCACAATATTTTTAAGACTTTAGCAACTGCTCCAATAAAAAGCCATTAGAAGATTTTATTTCTTAAGGAATTACATAAGCATTTTTGTTTATTTGTTTTTGTGTTAGCTTACAAGTAATCCTACCAAATCTCAGCAGTAAGGAGAAAACGTACATAACTGTACATTTATATATAATATCCACTTATGTCCATGCATGTGAATAGATCCTGTCTTAGTTCCCAAAATTAGATCATCACAACAGTTTGTTTTTAGTTTTTAAAAATTTTATTCTTGGCCGGTGCCGCGGCTCACTAGGCTAATCCTCCACCTTGCGGTGCCGGCACACCGGGTTCTAGTCCCGGTCGGGGCGCCAGATTCTGTCCTGGTTGCCCCTCTTCCAGGCCAGCTCTCTGCTGTGGCCCGGGAGTGCAGTGGAGGATGGCCCAAGTGCTTGGGCCCTGCACCCCATGGGAGACCAGGATAAGTACCTGGCTTCTGCCATCGAATCAGCGCGGTGCGCCAGCCGTGGCAGCCATTGGAGGGTGAACCAACGGCAAAGGAAGACTTTTCTCTCTGTCTCTCTTTCACTGTCCACTCTGCCTGTCAAAAAAAATTTTTTTTATATTCTTTAAAAATGTATTTTCATTTTATTTGAAAGAGAGAGAGAGAAAAACACAGAGAAATATCTTATCCCCTAGTTCACTGCCCCAAATACCTGCAATAGCTGGGGCTGGGCCCGAACAAAGCCAAGGTGGCAGAGACCCAGACACTCGAGCCATAATCTGCTGTGTTCCAGATGCACGTCGCAGAAAGCTGGATCAGAAGCAGAAGAGCCTGACTTGACCCAGGCGCTCTGACGGGGATGTGTAAATCCCAAGCAGCGACTTAAATGCTGTGCCTTTCAAATGCCTAACCTGCAGCAGGTTTTTTTTTTCCTTTGAAAAATAAATTTATTTATTTTACTTATTAGAGATAGAGCTCCCATCTGCTGGTTCACTTCTCAAATGCCTGCAATGGCTGGGGCTAGCAGGAGCTGATAACTCAAAAGTAGGTCTGCCATGTTGGTGACAGGGACCAATCTACTTGAGCTGTCACCTGTTCAGTTTTCTTCTCATTTTTTGAAACTCGGGAGTATGGACTATCATAAACAAATGCAACTAAATATAAAAGGCTTTATAGTTGTTTATTTTTTCCAAGCCTCTGGCTCCACTAACGTGCATTTAAAATTTTTTGTTTGATTTATTTATTTGAAATGCAGAGTGACTGAGAAAAAGAGATTTTACATCTGCTGATTCAGTCCCCAAATGACTGCAATGGCCAGGGCTAGGCCAGGACAAAACCAAAAGCTTAGAACTCTAGCAAGGTCTCCCATGTGGGTGGCAGGGGCCTAAGTACTTGGGACAACTTCCACTGCTTTCCCAGGC